TAGCTACATTGTATTGTATTTTTCAGTAGGCCAACAAAACTTTCATTTAATTGGTAATTATTAATTTAGGTCTTGCTTGCTGTAATCATTTATACGATCACTAAACTGACATTAAATAGCGCCCTCTATAATTTCTGCCCTAATTGTATGGGAATAAAAAATAATGCAGCAGATCCTGGATCCGCCCCTGTGATCAGCGATGTTACTGACTATATAGCCTAAGCCTAGGCCTAGGCGGAGAAAAATTAATCCACTGTGGTAGCAAACCAAATTAAGTAGCAATTTGACAATACTATCACGCATAATTATTAAATAGTACGTGATATTACTTTTACATTGGATTTTCGTTGTTCTCTGCACATATTTCGATGTAAAACGATGCCTCGCATGAATCGTTGTTATACCTCGCACTTTTGGCAATGGCAAAACGATGCCTCGCATGAATCGTCGTTTTGCCTCGCTGCCTCGCACTTTAGTACAACTCATCTTAAAATATGTGATCTTTAATTTGACAAAAATTACTTTTGCTGTTAACATCTGAATGCTGCCTAAAGAATTTGTTGAGAAAAAAAAGGACAGAAATATGAAAATCATTATGCCTAGTTTTAATTTTGTTTTTATGATTATTAAATGTAGCATTAAAAAGGTAAAAATGCCTAAATGATTAATGCCTATATTGTTATCCTTTTTCTCAAATTCTGTTGCAATTTGCTGATTTGTAATTAATAATCTTTCGAAAATTCCTTATGAAGATGCATAAAGCAGGAAGCCTGAAAAAGAACAGAGGTTGTTGCTATCACAATAGTAATAGTTATAGTTGGTATTAATAGGCTCAGTCCACACTTCATCGTTTGCTACTAAATCAAGAACTACCATGTTACTAATTGATTTGTAGCCTGAACCACTCTCTAATGCTGAGGCAGTGCGTTTCCCATTCTTCTTGATGCTTGTTGAAAATGAGGTATCACCGTTAGTTGACCCTGATGTAAATTGGAAAACATAGATACCTGGATGTTGACAGACAAACTTGCCTGTTTCTTTATTGTAGTGATTACCAAAGTTGGTAATTACTAACGGGTATTTCATTGGACTAATGGGTAAGCGGCCAGGGTTTCTATTATATGCAACTGAGAAGGCAGATTTAGGCTGGCTGATTGTGGTAGTAGCTTGTTCACCTTTCTCTCCTCTTTCCCCTTTTGGGCCTGGAGCACCAGTGACAAAATTGATGCCTGGAATTCCAGAAATCCCTGCAGTAGGAGTACAACAGCCACTACAATCTTGGGTTTCACGTTGAGCAGCTGATTGGATGATGAAAATTATGCCGAGTTGAATGGCAACTGCAAAATACATTTTGAATCTGAAAATTAATAAAATTAATGTTTAGAATTTATTTTAAGAGGACTGTTAAGTTTTCATTGGAATAGAGATTTAGTTCTGCATTTTCAATTTTCCCAAGCCCCACATTCTCAATTTATGCAACCCCCTCCCCCACCCCCATGATGAAACTAGCCTACAGTATGCCTATTTTGAACTAAAGGAACCTAAATTTTTGGCTGATATTCTTATCAGAATTATCCACAGCATGAGAGCAAGTGTTTCATCCATAGTTATTTGTAGGCATAGAACTTTGATTGAAAGATAACATTTAGTCTAAAAAAAAAGGGGAAAGATAATTTAATAATTGTACAGCTCTTAATAATAAGAAAACAAAAGTATTTTTAATTTTAAGAATACTTTGTTGAATGATGCCCACAGTGGAATTAAGTTTTCTTACTTTTTTATGGATCTACATCTGAAGCTACATTGGAAGAGATTAGTCGGTTTCTTGAAGAGCCGGAGTACAAGAGATGCAAATGCAACTCTTAGAAACATAGTGGAATGATCAATTGATCATTTTTACTATGAAAAAGTATTTGATAGAGTGATTGGAATAAAATTATGGAGGTTGGATACAAGCCAATACAGGATTACAATTAAAGAATAATGGATAGATTTAGTAAATAGTAGAAGAGGATATGGCATGAAAATAGATAAGAGAAAACTAAAGTTATGAGAGTTTGAAAACATTCTGAATGAAGGAAGATGAAATTTATTATGAACACATAGGCCTACAGATTGGACAAGTATAAGAATTCTGTCATTTAGGAAGTATAGTAACAGTACATGAATTAGATCTTAAAAGAACACTAAAAGAATTAGAATTGCCAAAACCAAATTCATAGTTAGTATATGCTAACAAAGAATGCCAGCCTCAAAGTCAGAAAACAAATCATTAAAGCAATAGTATGGAGTACTGCGTTGTATGCAAGTGCAGCATGGACACTGAAACAGAAGACAATAACAGAACAGAAGCATTTGAGATGTGGTCATGGATATAATTGATAATTGAAGTTAAATACACAGACAAAAGATCAAATGAAGATGTGCTACAAATGGTGGACTATAAAAAGAAGACAGAAAACATGAATAGGACATGTACTGTGTTAACATAATCAAATACTGAAAACAGTAATAATAAAGGACGGTGCATAGGAAAGGTGCAAAAAGGAAGAAAGCATATTGCTTTCTTGGATGACTTGAAAAATAATAACTATGAGACACTAAGAGAAGAACAAGGAGAAACAGATGAATGCGGACTTGCCAAATAGAGGCAGAGGACCAAAATTAAGTAAGTGCTACTGGTTGCAGCTGATTTGAAGGTATACTCTACTATTAGATGCAAAGGCATGATACAAAGTATTAATGAAGGTTCAAGAAAATTTTCAAATTTACTTACCTAAAAAATCTTCCCAGAGTCTTCTAAGAGAATTTGCCCTTAGTCTTCTTGCCGAGAGAATGTTTTGACTTGTGTAAAGTTTGTTGCTTTGAGAATTTTGCTGTTTGCTGGTTGTCTAGTGTGATGTTTCTCTGGTACTGTCTTGTATACTGAATGAATCTTGCTTTGTGTTGATTACCTTTTATATAATAGAATTTTTTGAACTTCCGATATTTGTCTTGTAATAATGAAAGTACAAAATGTATTAAATTTTAATAACCTATATTTGTTTGTTTTGTTATTAAC